GGAGACGAAGGCTCCGCTTCCGCCCAGGACTGACGTAATTCCTTGCGTCAGAGCCCAAGCGCTTCCTTTTGTTCGTTGGCAGCCGGGTGGCTCCACACTCTTCCAACTTAGGCCTTTAAGAGGGGGGAAAGCCTTATTTACCTCATTGTGCGGTGCCGCGCAAGGGCGAGGGCGTCATCGTAATCGGAAAGGAGTAAACAGGGCCTTTACCTGCTCTGCAGAACTGGGTTTCCCCCTAACACCGAGACCTTTTGTTTGCTACTTTCCCTGAGTATTAGATTGAAGCAGGCGTTAGGGATCAGGTTGTGTCCCTGGTCACTGTACTGCATCCTCTTGGGATTTACCAGACCGTCTATTTAGAGACTGGTGGTATAGTTATTCAGCCATCTAAGCAAAGTAAGTGCCTTTGAAGAACAGAATTAGGCTAGAATTCTAAAAGAACAAAAGACAGCTCGTCATCACTTTATTATTATTATTTTTTTGTACCATGGATCGAACTCGGGTCCTGCGCTTGCCAGGCAGGCGGCAGAACCACTGAGCTAAATCCCCGGCCCTCTGAGAGCCTAAGATGGATGGTGTCCCTTCGCATATATAAAAGGAGTAAGTCGTAAGAAAATAGAGGAAGATTTTAAAAAGACTTGGGATGGTAAAGTTGAAGCTAAGCAGGCCGGGGAACCCAAGTCACACAAAGATTCATTTTATAGAAATTAAAAACATGGTGACAAATAGTAATTGAATGTTGGGATAAAATATTGGTGATCTATAGCACGGGCAGATTTAAATAAGGTTTAATATAGCATAGCTAAAGATATAGTTATTACCCCAGGTTTAATAAAGTATTGGTAACTAGGATGGTGACACTGATGCACATAATGACTTCTCGAAAAAAGTTGGGTAGGGTAAGATCCGGAGTCAGCAAATGCTAAGCAGAGCCCTGTCTGTCTTAAGCCAGTTTTCTTGTAGAGCTTGGGATACAAGCTGTGACTTGTGCGCCACAGATCCTGTGATTACCGCCCGCGGTGCTGACGTGAAGTGCTCAGCTGTGCTCATCTAGCCCGAATGCTGTGCTCCAACTGGGAGAATCGGCCTCCCGGTGAGGAATCACCCTGTCCTACTTTGAAAAGGACATAGTTCAAGGATGAAGAACAGAGCCTTTTTTCTCCTGAGAGAACATATTTTAGACAAGACATAAGTGGAATCTTGCTAACCAGTCTGCTGAATTCTTTTAGGATAGACGTGCATCTGCCTCTCTGGCCACTACCGTGTTTTGGATTCTGGGAGACAGTGGCTCACTGCTGTGCAGAAGGTTATCTGCTGTGTTGAGTCCAGTAGTTTCAAGCTGATGTTTCCCAGAACAATAATCCATCCTAGCACTGCTCAGAAGATCCCTGTGGACTGAGGATTCACTAACCTTCACAGACTGGCTCAGGGCTCTAGCACCTCTGATTCTCTGCAGATGATCCCTAATAACCTGGCAAGCAGTGGTCCAGACATCAAGAAGTAAGAAAGCACCTTTAAAAGCCAATGCTTACTCTAAACTGTTGGATTTTTCTCGCCTGCTAAACAAGATGTCCCGTTGGAGAGAAGTTACTTCTTTTAACTAAATATGTGTCCTTGGCATAATAAGAATAGGGAGGACTTTTCCTCAGTATATTTGAAATAGAAATGTCAGTAGCAGAAAAATAAAGACTATAAGAATATAAGGAAGATCTTATGGGAGATTAGAGACTGGAAGCCAACAAACTAACAAATACTAGATGTCCTAGTAAACATTGATTCCATTTATACCAGGTATGCCAAAGAAATGGAAGATCCATCTTCTTCATTCTTTTCAGACTGGTGGGAGCCACACAGCAAGAGCATTGCCATTACGATAATAGAATGATCAAACGTAACAACACCAACCTAAAAATGATACTAATTTTCAAAATACAATGATACAACAAGTATATTTAATGGTGAGAAATACCTCAATATTCCATAACCCAGTAGGTATATGGGTTTTCTTTTGTTGTTTTATAACAGCCTACTTTATATCCATAAATTAATCTTTCATGATTATTATTATTATTTTTTTTGGTACCAGGGATTGAATTCAGGACCTTGAGCTTGCAAGGCAGTCGGCAGAGCCACTGAGCTAAATCCCCGGCCCTCTCACGATTATTTTTAAAAGGTAAAAATGTGTAGAGTTCTATGAACACATGATTTAGTGTTTATTGCTCAAAATAAACCATACTGTGTTTTGAAAAGCAACAGTTTCTTCCCTTAAATTATGTATTTATTTTATCAAAACTCTGTTAGGCAAATTTTGATGAATAATAAAAGCCTAACAGCAGCGCTATATCATAATTTCTGTAGTAATTTTAGAAATTTCCAATGAGCAATCAAGCTTGTCATAATAAGCATCTCAAGGAATCTAGCCTAATGACAAAGTCCGAAGGCCAGTAGGTGGGCTATTGTTTTTTACACATACTAAATACAGAAGCTCAGTCACTCCACCTAGAAGTTACTGTGAATGCACAAATGAATGTAGCTGAATCGGAAGCCAGCATCTCAGTGAGCCATCGATCCAACCATTAGCAGTAATGCTTTTTCAGAACCTTTTAAGGCAGTTTTTGAACAATTTTGTAACATTTTGAGTTATTTATTTACTTTTATTTTTTGGTATCTGGGATTGAAACTGGGTCCTTGTACTTTTGAGACAGGTGGCGGAACCACTGAGCTAAATCCCCAGCCCATAACATTTTATGTTACTCCATTTTCTTTCCCTTTACTTTTCATGCCTAATTTTAATCAATTCAAATATAAACTGGAAAATTGCTGAGGTAGTCTTCAGCTTAGTAATGCATCCATTTAATACAGTATTTACAGCATGCATGTTAAGATGTGACAGGCAGATTAGTCAAGAGAATATGTATTTGCCATTTGCAGGCTGCCAAGAACTGTTTCTTGGGACCAAATGGAAGGATCTAAGAACCCATAATTAATTGCATTTTCATGGCATGACTGATTCATATTCTGATACCTGTAGGAATATAGTGTGAGAGAATGTTTATTTCAGAAAACTTTCTAAATTTCTTTTGCTGTTTGGTAACCCAAATACAAATCACTCGGGAATTGGAAATCAGTAGGGCCACTGTTGCCTGGTGGTTGCCTAAAACGTTGAACTCTGCCAGTCTGAAGTGAGACGAAAATAGCTTAGGAAAGGAGAGTTTTATCTAGGTAGAGAAAGGAAATAGAGTATAAATTTTAAGATTGATTATGCATGCTACAGCAAAAACTGTCACTTGATAGATTTAATTTCTAGAGTTGGCATTTAGGCTGCATATAATCCGGACAGTGACCTAGGCAGCATCTGTGGCCAGCCTTAGATATGGAGAGTTGTTTTTGAACAATTTCCTGCAAACGTAATAACTAGTTAACAAAAGCTGTAAGAGCTGTGCGTTTCCCCTACTGTAACACAGCTGCTTTTTAACTGGGTATGTTCAGCAAACAGTGAATGTAAGTAGAAATACGAAGCAGCTTCGACTTTTCCATTTAAAGGTGGCTGTCACGTATTTTTTAAATCTTCAGACATACTAGTGCACACAGTCCATACCCTAACAATGTCCATTTGGGAATGACCAGATTGCTTTAGCACTTAAAACCCTCACAGGCGCCCCATGCCTAATTGTTCTAAGTTGTATTTGCAGCCTTCTCCTAGTTTCACAATCCCAGCACTGGGATTTTGTCACTGGGGCTTTGTCCTAGGGCCTCTTGGCTTCACTCTCTGCTCTTTTCAGGTTGTCACGCACTTTGAAAGAAGACACAAATCATAATTTACATGATTATACTATGAAAACAGCCAAAATAGAAATAAACCGAAGTGCTAACATTGCTGTAACTGCCATCCAAGTGTTTCATGGGTGTTGTTGAATAATGTGATGCTAAACCTTTTTTTCTTCATGACTTCTTACTATTTTATACTTTCTTTCCGGAAGTGCTTCTTGTACTGGGGAAAAATCATCTCAAATGAATGTTGAAAGAATTAAGACTATCAGATATTCCTAATATGTTCAGAAAGGCAAGGACTGTCATCAGAAAATGAGTGTCTGCAATGTTACATACCCAGAATAATTTGAAATGTTACATTGTACGTTGGCTACTCAGAGGGGTGATTTTCAAGACAAACGGAGAGAATTTATCCAAGAAGAGGTGGTTGTGACAGACCCACAGACTTGTAATCTCTGTAAGCGAAACCAGAGGCTCCAGGTTATGCTAACCTGGCTCCAGCTATTAAAAAACATTGCACCTGTTCTCTTTCAGATTCCATGTTCCTGGAGAATTAATCTGATTATGACTACCTTCAATGTGGCTTTATTGAGAGTCTCGTGTGGCATGAACATTTCATATTTAACCAGGGAGAAGCGCCCTGAAAACTTGAGATGAAGGTAAATCAGTTTATTTTCAAAGAACTAAAGCAGAAACTGCCACAAGGAAAGTTTTATGTACATGTTAATGGCTGTAAACGTATGACCAACATTTGGAAACATCAAACCCCAGGGCGACCTGGATGCTGTCTGGGGGCGCCTCCGTGGACTGATGGTGGGTGGAACTGAGTTGATTTTGCTGTATCCGCCCAGAGGAAGACTGCAGTAGAATGCGGGTGTGAGTGGGCACACACAGGAGCCAGGGCTCTGCAGATGTGAAAGTCATTGGGGTTTCTTTCTTCAGCGCTATGCTGCTGTAGTTACATCTTACTGTACTGAGTGCTAATTGGACACTGGTGATGTACCAGACACTGCCTCTCTCTGGATTGAAGTGATCTCCATGATAAAAGTGGGGACACGGAGCTCCAGACTGTGTCATCACGCAGGTTTTATGTGATGCAGCTAGGGTTCAAACTCCAGTGTCCTGACAAAGGGGCCCCGCCTCCATCACTCTGGGAGGCTGCTTGCCTGGAATACCCTCTAAGGTGATTTCTAAACTTGTGTCTTGGCTGTGTTTGCTACAAAGACTCACTGCAGTGCCTCGGTTGGTCTGGAACTCTTGAACTCAAGTGATCCTCCACTCTCAGCCCCTCGAGTAGCTGAGACGACAGGCATTATTTGCTGCTTAAAAACAATTCTTTTTAACTTTTCCATATTCTGATTCTTTGCTCAACAAATACAATTTAAATATTAGTTTGGTTCCCAACTCGTTCTGATTCCGGAAAGGAGTCATTTTATTACAAATGCAGTGGCATTTAGGCTTCTATGCATTTAGAAAAAGTGAATCACAGAATACAGACTTTGCCCCTGCTTGCTCACGATCATTTGAAGAGCTACTCAAAAGTGCATTCCAGAAGGGGTGCCAATTTATGAACTCTTACTGCTCTCAAAGGGGATAAGTACGGTGATTGAGAGCAAGCTCTAAAAAGCTTGTACAACAGTTTTTTATGGTTTATTTTTTTCTCAGTGCTGGGGATTAAACAGTGGCACTTCCACAGAGCTGCAGCTTCAGCGACTCCCCCATCCGCTTTTTACTATGTCGCCCAAGCTGGTCTCAAGCTTGGGATCCTCCTGCCTCAGCCTCCTGTGTAGCTGGGATTTTGGGCATGCACCACATTGTTCAGTTTATGTAGCAATTTGATAGGACAAACCTGTATCCGTTGAACTTAATTTTTTCTTTACACTTTTCTAGTAATTCATTCTTACTGAGAAGCACAGCCGCAAAGGTTGGAAACCATGGAAAGCAGACGTGGTATAAATAGCATTACAACGGCCCCATCCTTAGTCTTTCATAAGTGAGGCCACCATACGACATTTTCCAGTATTGTGTATTCCTAGTCTGCCATGCTTTGGTTTCTTTGGTCAGGAAAGTATACCGCTCACCTCAGCTCCCTTCCACCAGCTTTGAGGAAGAGCTATGATTGTGGTCTCACCAGTACATGGACATGTTTTTGTTCAAATCCCGATGTGTACCTGTCAGATTTTATTGCAGTCCACAATGGCTTGTCTACCTCTGCCTTCCTTCCCTCTGTTTTAAAGGATTGTTTTCTATTCTTTCTCTGCCACTCTCTCAGTGTATAATTCCACCGTCACTTATAGGGCTTTTCTGGCCTTAGCTTTCAAATATTCAACGGTGACTCTAAAATGTGCTTCTGTCTGCTGGCTCTTGTGTCCCACTCTACAGAGGAGGGTGTAGTTTTTTTTTTTTTTTTTTTTTTTGACTCACTTTTTCCTACTTGGCCCAAGCTCTCTCTGAAGAACCTGTTTTTCCTCCCCCCCTACTTTGTTTGTTTGTTTGTTTGTTTGTTTTTGTTTTTGAGACAGGGTCTCACTATGTAGTTGACAATGACCTGGAACTTACTGTGTAGCCCAGGCTGGTCTCGAACTTGCAGCCATCCTCCTGCCTCAGCCTCCGAGTGCTGGGATTACAGGCATGCACTACCATGCCTGGCTTCCCCTACCTTTAATAAATGTGAAACTGCCACCATTAATGAATAAATAACCAAGTAAAATGTGCTTCCAGTAAAAACTTCTCTCCTGAGCTTCAGATATATATATTTCCATAGGATGAATTCCAGGTACCTTACATTAACATGGCCAAACCTGAGATGATAAACTCTGTCCTGATGTCAGTGCCTCAAACCTTCTGCCCCTGGGTGTTCAAGCCGGAAATCTGATAGTTATGCCAGAGTCCTGTTCTTGGCCTGAGAAGAGACAAGTATAGAAACAGCAAGTCTTCTCTTTTATCTGATTGGCCACCATATTCTACCAAGTCTAACTATAACATATCTCAGAAATTTCTGATTTTTACTTTCAGAGCCTTAATTCCTTCTTTACACTTTCCCTTCCTCCTTCAGTGGTATTTACTGAGATGTATTGCAATAGCTTGATTAAATGACTTGTAGTCTTAGTCATGTGTTTGGCACATGTCTATGATCCCAGAAGTCAGGAGGCTGAAACAGGAGAATCACTGAGACTTTGAGGCCAGCCTGTGCTAGTTAGTTCAAGACCAGCCTTAACTACACAGTGAGACCAAAAAAAAAAAAAAAAAAAAAAAAACCAATAAATAAATGACTTCCAGTCTTGTTTTCTAGTCCCTTCTACATTTCAGAAATTCAGTGCCATTTAAGAAATGCATACCTGATCTTGTTCTAATCGGCATCTTCCAGTGGCCTTCCATTAATTTTTAGATAAAGACTGGATGAACTGACCTTCTCTTCCTTCCTTTCTTTCTTAATTTGTAGTACCAGGGTTGAACTCAGGATGTTGGAAATACTAGGCAAGTAGGCTTATCACCGAGCTATATCCCAGCCTTTTTTTTCAGACAGGGTCTTGCTCTGTAATTCAGAGACTGACTTTGAACTTGTGGCTGTCCTCCTGCTTCAGCCTCCCAGGTGCTGGGATTACAGGCGTGCGCCACCACACCTGGTCATCCCCAGCAATTTTTATTTTTGTTTGTTTTGTTTTTGGTACTGGGGGTTGAACTCGGGACCTTATGCTCACGAGGCAAATGGTGGAACCACTGGCCTCCCAGCAATTTTTATTTTGAGCGAGGGTCTTGCTAAACTGCCCAGGTTGGCATGAACCTTGTGATCCTCCTGATTCGGCTGCTGGAGCAGACAGGATTACAGGTACGTGCCGCGTGCCATCTTAAGTCCAGACTCTGGCAAGATATTTAGATCTTTCAGCATCAGGCCTTTGCCTCTGAAGCCTTATGTTCTGCTCCACTGATACCAATCATGGCACCTAAAACCTGCCTCCCTCGGGCCCCACGAGCTCTCACAAGGCAGAGGCCGCTGGGCGTTGCGCTCCTTGTCCCCCTCACAGCTCCAGCACATAACAGTCCTGTAATAAGCAGCTCGCAAACTCTGCGCTGCTGCTGTGTCAGGGTTTTGGGTGCTGGGATGGCTGCTGGTGTTTGGTAGGAAACAAGCCTTGAGAGACAGGATCTGGTGTCAGACAATGAGATTAGAAGGTGAGAACAAGAAAGCAGTGACGATAAGAGGCAGGCTTATCTCCGCCAGTCGCCCACACAGCCCAGATGGCTGGCTAATTTGCACCTCACATATGGGCATTTCCCTAAATGCTGATCAGTATCCCCTTCTACATTACTGCATAGAAAATTCTGACTCTATTTCTCGAAATGCCTAACAACTGACTAATAGTATCGAGTCGGGTAAATTATTGATGCGGCACAGATTCACCCAAAGTGATAGCGACAGCTGATCTCTTGGCAGAGCCTCTGACAAGAGAACTGTAGCCTCCCCCCCCTCGCAAGCTGTGGAAACCATGCCCTGAGGAAATGCTCAGCAGGACAAACCTGAGCAGTTCGCTGTAATATCTTTAAATGGCTACATTTTGCTAAGGTGACCAGACATTTAGATTTGCAAACATAGGAACTTGGAAGACTAACTTGTTTTAGAAATTTCAGGAAAATATTTCCTTTTCAAAATTTAAATTTATTTTTGAGGCAGGGTTTCACCATCTTGTTCAGGCTGGTTTTGAACTCACTGTGCAGCCCAGCCTGGCCTTGAACTTGTGGCGATCCTGCTGCCTCATCCTCCCAAGTGCCGGGATTATAGGCACGCTCCCCACACCCCGTGACTAGTGTTTGTGCAGCCACAGCAAGCACTCCTTTGTCTTTACTGTGTTTTACACCAAGGAATTTCCCCATAGTATTAACGTTTAACTGAAAGCGGCACTGCCTGTGTTCCGTGGCCAGCGTGGAATGCCCATGACCACTGACACGCTGCCCAGCCAGGGCAGGGATAAGTTTCAGAACAGTCTTCAGGGTTTCCAACAGCATTTTCCAGTTAAATATTTTGAGAGGGGAAGCTCTGGCTGTGGCTACTGTACAAATAATGCTTAGTTAGGCGACAGATATCTCGTGGCAGTCTTATCCTAGTTCGGATTTATTCTCAAACCATGCACACAAGGTATGATACTATGAAAAGCATTTAAAATGTCCCCTTGAGGTTCTTAGCTTTAAAAAAAAATTTTAAACCTCTGGTTTCTACATGATAATCTTTTGTCTCTAAGGGTTTAAAAAATTTTAAAACACCCTAACTACATAGACCAGCTGCTCTGTCATTCATGGTCATCGTAAAGGGACATTTTTTCTTTTTAGACAGGGTCTTACTATGTAGTTCAGGCTTGACTTCAACTCATTACATAATCCAGGCTGGCCTTGAATTCTTGGCGATCCTCCTGCTTCAGCCTCCTAAGTATGGGGAGTACAGGCATGCACTGCCATGCTTGACTTTGTAAAGAAAATTGTGAGGGCTGGAGATTTGGCTCAGTGTTTCTGCTGCCTGCCTCACAAGTGCAAAGGCCAGTGTTTGATCCCCAGTACAAAAAAAAAAAAAAAAAAAAAAAAAAAAGAAGAAAGGAAAATTGTGAAATCTGTTATAGCTACATGTCCTTTTGGAGGAGCTGAGATTCAGAAGCTGTTAGAATGATGAAAGGCAGCAAATGCATTATGTGATAATTTTTCCAAACAAGTAGATGAAGAGATTTTAGGAGCTGGGGTGCAGTGCAGGGGCAGAGCGCTTGCCTCGCATGCCCGAGATGCCAGATTTGATCCTTGATGCTGAAAACAATCATCTTAGAGCCCTGTAAAGGTCTGGGAAGATCTGGAGGATCGTCCAGCTGTTATGGTTCAGGAAGCAGAGTTCTGGGTGGACAAGCAACTCATTCATCCTGGCTGCCCAGGAAGCGTCATTCATCTTGGAGCCAAGGGGAAGTCCTTGTAGCAGGAAAATATCTTGCATTCCCACGCAGCCGAAGCCCTCAGTGATTCCCTTCATATCACTTCTGTTACCTGAGCTAACTGACATGTTCACCGATGCGAACGTGGTGGAATGGGACGGGCCATCTCAGTCTGGATGAGGAGGAACCAAACGCCCCTGGCGAGGGAGCCAGGCAGGCAGGACTGAAAAGTGCTGCTGCTGCCTGGGACGCGCGGCTCTTTTCCCTAAGATTAGGAGCAAGAGTCTGGGAAGCAAATGCTCTGACCCCTCTGAGGCTGACGCTTCGGTCTCCTGGGGTGGTTCTGAGTCACAGGTGGGCTCTGGGGCCCCTAAGTGCTTCCAGCTGCTGTTGCCAAAGGCAGCTCATCACTGTAGGACAGTGAAAGCGCGCTGCTGGAAACGAGGCAGTACTCACTCTGGGAGACAGAAGCTTCCAGTTCTAGTGCAGGGAACATACAAAAAGAACTCTGAATGCAGTAGAGCTACGGGAGCACTAGGAATACCCCAGTAGCTCAGCTCCATGGTACCTGCTGAAGAGGCAAGAGGGAGAGGCGTACCTGGCCACCAGTACTTTCAAGGATTCTAGCTCCTGTAGTTCCTGATCTCCAATGAGGATGACGTGCAAACTGGATTCATAATGTTCTTTCTGATGTCTAGGCTTGTCTCCAAGGTCCTCGCTTCTACTGTGAAAATCTGTCTTGAGCCTTTCGAGATGGAGATGGGTCTGCATGGCCACCCTGCACCTGTGCTTCGCACACCTCCGCAGGCTCGTGGAGCCTGTGTTCTCTGCTGCACCAGCTAGATCTCCTCTGAAGGGAGTGTCGGTCAGTGCTGGCCTCCTGTTAATAAACAGCAGTTGTTCCAGGAGGGGAAAGATTAGGAGAAACAGACTGGTGAGTTTTCCAGGAATACACAGAGTAACTGCTGCTCTGCTTGGCTCTGTCCTAAAGCTGACTACATGGGAACAGCGTTAGCAGAAAGCCTACTGCGGGGGTCAGAGCTGCCCAGGCTGCACTCAAGTATCTTCTTACATGGCTCTGCCAGTTCCCATGAGCGTCCACTGTGCGCTGTGCTAGTCGAAGAGGAGGCCACCCAAAATGCCCTACGTGGATGCAGAGACGGAATCCTGTTTGTCAAAATGTGTAAAGGGGTTTCTTGATGATGTGGGACCCATGACAGGGGTCTAATTCTGCCGAGGATTTTAGAGCACATTAGCAGAGATGCAGACAGTCTCTGGGGAGGAGGCTAGAAGAAAGTACAAGAATTTCTCACCACTGGATCACAAACATCCAGTATTGATAACTGCATAAAAAGAACATGAATAGGATTTATGTGCATTAAGCCAGGCATGGTGGTGCACGCCCATAATCCCAGCACTTGGGAGGCTGAGGCAGGAGGATCACTGTGAGTGTGAGACCAGCCTGGGCTACATAGTGACTTCCAGGTCAGTTTCAACTGCATAGTGAGACCCTGTCTCAAAAATGAAACAAACAAACAAAAAAACAAACCAAAAAAGATTCATGTGCGTGGAGATTTTCCAAAGGGACCCAAAATTTGGTAAGAATAGAGAAAAGTAAATCCTTCTGTATAGAAAGAAAGAAAAAAAAAAAAGGACTGTAGGACTGAACTGTAACTGAATACAGTGCATCTTGGATGAGAACTGTAGTCTAGTCTTTGTCGTTTTGGCTGAAGCAGTTCACCATCTGTTCACGTGAATGTTTGTGCTTTTGGTCTTCTACATTTTAAAAAGCATGTACTGAATTGGGGCTGGGGGGTGGCTCAGCCGTGCCATACCTGCCGGGCAAGTGCAAGGTCCTGAGTTCCGTCCCCGGTGCTGGATGGGGCTGGGGGTACTGAATTGCAAAAGCAAACAAACCCCCGCTAGATACTGTCTGTGTCACATCAGTGTCTAGAGTGGTAACGGATAATGTCTAGCTGTGCTTACTAAAATGAGGCTGACTCAATAGCTTAGTGCTCTGCCCCTGTCCTTTCTTGTTTTCTTCTTTAAACAGCCACAGCAATCGCACGTTAAACAAGCTGACCGGGTTAGCTAACTGTACCTGTGACAGCTGCACTCTCAGCGGGTGACGGCTCACTTAGCTGTGCTCACAGCACAGCTGCCTCTTCCTTTACCCGACAATGCCCGGTAAATTATAGCTGTGATCGACTTTCCTACCCTAACCACACATGCTAAAAATGCTTACTCCCCACAGTCTGATCAGTGACCTCGCACTCAGTTCCTTACCAGGAAACTACACATCACTCAGCCTGTCATTCCTCAGCTCTGGCTGCACGGTCTAGCATCTGTGTCCCTGTCCAGGGAAGGCTGACGTGGTAAGCTACACTGACAAGTCCAAAATAGCTGTCCCGTGATTTCATTCCCAGCTGGCTTCCCTGAACCTGTCTGGGCCCACAGAGTTCTCTATTTTTAGGTCATCTGTGCGACTGTTTACTTGTGAGGAAGCACACTGACCTTTGGCTTTCGCTGCTGAGCAGACCGGGGAGACCAAAACTGGAGATTCACCCAAACCCCGGTCACCGGTGCCATCCTGTTTTTTATTACCCTGAAGTGTGTGTTTGGGGAGCAAGACTTTATCCTGTGTTAACAGTAGACCTTTGGTATCACTAACAGGTTGCAGTCAGCACGCGGTTTCATGCAGTATCCAGGGACTCATCTGAGCAGGCAAAATAAGTAGTATGGCTTTGAATAGTTGAGCAAAAGAACGGCTTGAGTTGAGTCAATGTATACAGATACACCTTCCCCCAGTTGTTTTGGCACTTTGAGGACCAGTTAAACAAAACTGTGGTAAAACTGTTTTGAAGATTCCCATGTAACTATTCCCAGAGATACTGGTTAGAAAGAGATGATGGTAGGGCGTTAAGGACAATGAACTTCATGACACAATCCTACCTTTGAAACAGAGCATATTTATATGCACAGGAAAAAAATGCCTGGAAAAAAAGACATCAGAATTCCTCCTGTGGCTCTTTCTGAACTAGCATAGATTATGAGTATTTTCTACTTTATAGTTTGTGTTCAAAATTACAGCAACTTGTATTTTTTATAAATGAGGAAAACTTTACTGAAATGTAAAAAAGTGTCCTGGTAATTAAAATCAAGCATATACATTAAGAGTCTTTAAAGCAAAAATTTGGCAGTTCATTAAAAATAAAGATTACCTTCTAGAAGGTCAAATTTTCAAAGTATGAAAAATACACATTGCGGGATAGGAAATCACTAAAAATTAATAACTTTTAAACACACTTATAATGAAGTAGATTAGAAAGAAATCTGAAAAAAAATTTTATCATAATACCTGAAAAAAAATGCAACCTAGGGATCGACATCAGCAAGGAGATGAAGGACCTCTGCAGTGAGGGCTGCAGGACACTGAAGAAAGCAAATGAAGGAGACCGCTCATGCTCATGGCAGAATTAATGTCGCTAACACCAACACATTACCAAAAGTGACCTACACATTCAGTGCTACCCCATGAAAAGTCCTACGACATTTTTCACAGATCTAGGAAAAACCTAAAATCCATATGGAAATAGAAAAATCCCAGGATAGCCAAAGCGATCGTAAGTAAAAAGACAAGGCTGAAGGCTCAAGACTTGATTTCAGATTATATTGTAAAGCCACGGTGACAAAGCAGCACGGTACTGGGACAGAAGTTGATCCATAAGCCAATAGGACAGAACAGGAAACACAGAAACAAACAACGAACCACACACCTACGGTTCTGTGATTCTGACAAAGGAGCCAAAGACACACTGGGGAAATGCCGCCCTTAACTTCAACAAACGGTGCTGGGAAAACTAGATGTCCTTCCGTAGAACATGGAAACTAGATCCTGCTCTCTACCCGGTACAAAAACCACTTCAAAATGGTTCAAGGACCTAAAGGTGAGACCTGAAATGGAAACTGCTAGGAGCGAGCACTGGGAAAACCCTCGATGCCACGGGCACAGGGAAACCTCCCTGCACGGAGCTCTTTACATCTCTACTACTTTATAAGTATTGAGGTTGTAGTTTAGATGTTTTTTTAATACTGAAAAATGAACAATTATCATGCTTTATTTTGTGCAGCAATCCAGGGGGTTCACAGCCATCAGGAGTTCTGGTGCTGTTTCAGGGGCGGTGGGAATGCAGAGCTCTGGGAGCTGCAGACCCTGGAAGGCGCCATCCAAGGTGACTGCGCTGGATCTTCGCAGAAACCGACTGGCCCCCAGCGCCCCTGCTGTTCCGGGTGGCTCTGGGCAGCCTGGTGTCTCCGCAGGCCCCGCTGCGGTCCGCGGCTCCTGTCCTCTCCATGGCCACCGCAGCCCAGGGCCTCCTGGCAGCTTGAACGTTTTCAGCTACCAGTGTATTCAGTGATATTCACTTGTTAAAAAGCTGTGCACACATTCAGTGTGAAAACACAGCAGCTAAGAACAAGAGAAACCGAGTTTAAACCCACTTCCAGAACCTTCACTCGCTGCAGTGCTTCTTTCTGTATATGAAAGATGAACAGTCCTATTCTACAGAGCTTGCTATCTTTCTTTGACCCAGGTACTCTGTGGGGCTGACACAGAAGATGCTCCCGCTTCTGAGCCCGGTCTGTTCCCTACGTGGTCTGTGCATGGCGCCCACGGGATGTACTGCCCGGGCTGAGCGTGAGCTGGGGCAGCCCGTGGCCGAGGAGAGGCACCAGTGTCCCCAGGGGGCCCAATAACCCTGCAGTTCCCACCCACTCGCCCGCCCGCCCGTTCGTTTGGATCGATTTTCTCGTCTGCTCCTACCCGGGATCCAGGCCTCTATCACCCTCACCTGTCTCCAGGAACCGTTGATCTTCAGGATGCTCATTCTCTTTTTGTCAGAAAATGAAACACTGCTCGGCTTCCACAGGCACCTGAGGAGTGGTGAGTAGCCAAATTACAGTCACTTACAGGGGCAAAAATCCCGTTTCCCTGATGGTGAAAATACTAACCTACGGGGAACTTGGCATATGTTCTTGCACTTTTTTTTTTTTTTTTTTTTTTTTTTTTTTTT